AAACTATAATTCAATAATGCAACTTAATTCAATAAATACACGGTAAGTCAATAATGTGTTTTTGACTAATAATAGATCTTATAATAATCTTCCACCACTTTTGCTGTTTACTTAATATTGGGAGAAAAACTCATTTAATTATATAACAATATTCTGTAAAAATCTAGTTTTGTTTCATTAAATGTACAGAATGAAGTATTTTAGGCATATTAAAAATTTTAACATATAAATTATTTAATTATTAAAAGTTAACAAATCATATATAAAATAATTATATCTAAATATATGTAAAAATTACTGATCACTTGTATACTATTGTAAATCATCTCTAATTAATTATTTATTATGTTTGCCAAACTATAATACGTTTATATAATATATTGCATAACATATTTCATAAGATATTTCATAAATTGGACAAAATATTAAAATATCAAATGTCTATAAAAAGATACCAAATTTAATTAAAATGATGATAAAATACCTGATATTCTCGTCGTTATTATTATTATTGATGGAATGTATAGAAGAACTGCTGGAATGTTGTCTGAAGTGATAGTTAGACCACCGGATGATACGATTGCTATTGAGATGGGATCGGATCCGGTAGTGGGAGACCAACATTACGCAACTCGGGATCAATAGTTGGGTGATTAGTATGACGAAGGAATAGATGCCACGATTATTGTTGGGCCAGTTCTCCACACACTTGTCGTATAGGATCAGCTCTTTGATGCCAAAGCCAACCACACTCTGGTAGACACATATGGGAGCCGACAATAGCATTGATATGATCCAAATGATGAGCGTATAGAAGCCGTATTTCATCAGTTTGGGCGACGACTGGGTCACCAAACCTCTCACTAATTAATTATGCAATCAATCAGTATTATTAGCGCATAGAAAAGTATCATTGCATAAATTGTATGATGAATATTTTACAAACAAAATCCAAATTACTTTCTATTATTGCCTAAAAGCAAATACTTGTTTTATTAACCGAATAGGCGTTAAATTGAATTATAATGTACATTCATGCTTAACAACTTACGGTTGCATTGATTTTTATTTGATTTCTATGAATGCAATCAAACGTTCATCAAATAAAAAAAATTTTCATGTAATAAAGTGATGCAAATAATTATAACATTTGCATTAAATAAAATATCTTTGTTAAAAAAGTATATGGATTTACAATATACACTATCAATTTAATAAAATTATACAAAATACTTTTGCGCAATTTTAAAACATAGCATATTAATTAATTCAAAATACAAAATACAGGTTTAAAATACAAATTCATGTATATCTGACTTTAAAACATGTTGTTTACATATTATGTAAAACTCCTGTACAAGTAGTGTACAGTACATTATATTATAACAATAAATCTATAAATATTGCATATAAATAGCAATAATATAATTTAATAATATGCAAACCTATTCTCAAAGGATATATTTCTAAAAGCATTGAAATACTACATTAAAAGTTAAATTTATTTTATATTTATATTTCTAAGAAAACAATAACTTTTAAGTAAAGGATGGATAAGACAAAAATGAAAGGAAAAGTTTGAATATTACTTTTTTCAAAACATAAAACCGGAATATTCTGCTCACTATTTTTCTAATCAATTATGTTTTGTGTGACAAAAAAGTAAAGTGTTTTGTTATCCAATTTATTGTTTGATTTTTTTGATAGGACTTATCCATTGTTTGCTTTACTCGGACTTATAGTATTATGTAATATGTTATTCTATATATAGGGTGAGAAAAAGAGAAAGAAGAGAGAGAGAGAGAGAGAGAGAGAGAGAGATGTCTTGTTAAGTGCTACACAGAATAAGTTCTTATATTTATGAAGTATATACAGAGTAAATAATAGTTAAATCCATTCTCTAGTGATTGTAGTCTAGTTGCATTATTTGAGTAACAGTTAGCTATATTTAGGCTAATATAACTTAAACCCCTTACTATAAAGTTATGTAAACACTTATGTATTAAAATATGTATAGTTAATGAGAAAGTGGGGGAGAGTTAAGTAGATTTTAATTAAATACCTGAATACTGATTGGCCGTAATCTGAAACATACGGTCGATGGCAATGGACGATATGGTGACGGCCGACACAAAAGTGGTCACCGCCTGAATGAATGGCACGAGTTTACATATAGCGGCACCAAATGGCCAACTCCTGCGTGTAATGGCAATCAGCGTAAATGGCATACAGAATATGCACAACAGTATATCCGACACAAACAGATTGATTAACAGTATATTGTTTGACGTGAAGAGACGTTTATTAACTATAATCACACCAATTATGACTATATTAGCGAGTATTCCGGACACAATCAGCAGCGTATATAGCACCTTGAGCAGTGTTTCTGTACCATGGTCAAACGTGTGCTCTTTCTTCATAAAGTCGGCTAATATTTCGTTCAATTCGTCATTTTTTAGATCATCAATAGTGACATTCATCAGGTCCTCCATTGGCATCACTGTTGAGGGATTTGTTCCCATTTTTGTCGTTCAATTATTAGCTATTGACTGACATTTATTTACTTATTATGAACCCAATTGAACTTGTTTAAATTGATATATAATTATAATTAGTGTTTGTTTGTATAATGGTCTATTCATTTACCACCAAGCTTGTAATCGTTTATTATATGATGATATATAGCCATAAAAATCTTGAATACAATATGATTCTTGATATTATATGTCATTAAAACCATATGTTTCTATACATGAGGTATAATCTCGGAGTCAAAGCACTTGGGAATAAAAACCTACTCTTTTTTGGCAGTAATTATAATGGATTTAATTTGGATTTCGTTTATTATATTACAACCTATTATATTATGTAACCAATACGTCGCGTTCCCTGAAAGGTAATTGATATTTTATTTATTATAATACAAAAACTATATATTAAATTGATTTTTTATTTAATGCCAGCTTAGATAATGTGTTGTCATATTATTTAACAGTTTATGTAATATGTATTTAAAGAAGTATTATCTTATTTACAAATTAAACGCTTAAATTATATTTAGTATGAATTCAATTATAGCGACCCTCATCATTATAATAGGAAATTAATGGTTCATAAATGTTATCATATAAAACATATGCTTATAGTAATTGTGAGCATAAACTCCATACAGTTGACCAAATATTGTTGCCTAACATATATTGTTTTTATGGGTTTTATAAGTCTATGAGTTTACTAAATATACTGTATAAAAACATGCTAAATGTAATTTATATGCTAAATAATTAACTTATAATTAGACGGACGCAACAATTGAATAACAGTTAAATGGGCTTATCATGCGATAGGCTATAATAAAATTTTATAATTTTGTTTATATTTGCATTTAATGGCAAAACATTAAACTTAACGACAAGAATATATTGACGTAAAGCAATAGTAAAAACACATTCACACGATCTCTACATTACACTTCCGATGTGTAAATAATTTACACAAATTACTAATTTTTCACATTTTGCGGTATACTTTTACATTAAACCTAATGTACATTGTTATTTTATTAATGAATTAAACAAAAATAAAATTATAACGAGATATTTGTGTTAATCTATTATTTAAGATTATACGTATAATATATGTGGCAGTTTAGATTTTAATGCCACAAAAAATATAAAATGATAAAATCGCTTTAATTGTAATTGTGAAAAATTTTTGTTACAATAAAAGGGTATATAAGAACATGGTCAGATTTATACTATTGTCCAATTAGGGGGTGTATTAGCTGTTTTCTTTCTGGTGCGGTCACGGGTTTGGTAACTTGTATCCGTGAATATTAATACTATTAAACACGTGGTGTTATAACTTATAAATCATCATTGTAATATGTTTATAATTTAATAATTCTAAGATTAGGTTTTATAACTTAATTTTTATTTATACACCATTGTTATTTTAATCTATTGTAATATTAATATAGAAATTAGCGTATCATACATCAACAAAATAAATTAAAAGTGAGATTTACCAAGAATTTTGCTAACAAAATGCTTTGAGCTATATTTTTAAAAATAGTATACCTATTGTAATATTTTTCTGTAGTTGGCTTTCAATAAAGATATCACGTTGTATTTACTAAATAATTACTAAATATATTATGCGATGCGATTCGTAAGCAAAATTTGTTATTAAAAAAATAATTTAAAACTAGATTTTAGGTTTTAAAACAATGCTTTGAAAACAATGTGATTTAAAATATGCGTTTATATGACAATATAAATAAATTTTGTTACACTTATAGTCTATATTAATATTTCGAATACCTACAGGGTTATAAAATTATTTTATAAATAATAAATCTTATATTAAATATTATATGTAAAATTTTCAATTTAAATATCACTTACATTTGGGAGTCTTTTTTGAAATAAATTTAAAATGTAATAAAATGTTGAAATATTTATAAAATTTAATATAATATATATGACGGAATCAATAGAAGTAAGATATTCATATAATACTATTAATATGTCAGACACTGTTTCATTGATATTTGATGTATACATTAGTTATATAAAATAATATCTATAAGATAATAATACTAATACCATATGACTTATCGCTGTATTATATATTTTCGTTTATACGATATTCAATAGGGAACTAAGAGATAGATTATTTGTTTCTTGACCATTATGTTATATTATATTACAGCATGTATTGTATTAATACATGATCAAATTGCCTTCATTTAAAACAATCACGCACATTTTTGTTAACAAATAGAATTATTATTATTAACGGCGCTAATCTCAGTGTTTTATTGTATATAAATCAAAATTTCTGAATGTAATATTTCATTTTGTTTATATTCATTTGTATAACTAATTGCCCGCATTATTCATTAAGTTGTTTGTAGTTCTGATTTAATAATGAATGGAAATATTATTATAAGTAAATGTCTCGTATATCAGATAATTAATTACCACAAATATTTTATTATTATTAATTAGATTTATAAAAATATTTATATAAGCATAATATGGATAAACAATTATTTGAATTTATTTTAATAAATTCATTAAGGTATTATTGCATGGTAGGCAAAATACATGTATATTTTAAAATACTAGAGCAACCAAAATATGAGTTATTTAATATGCAGACTAAACAAAACTTATGAATTAGTCAAATAATCTTTAGGATTAGAGATTTAACTAATGCTGAAAGCAAATGAACAAATAGTTGTAATAGTCATTATTGTGCTCAAAACTATAAATAAAGCATCCGACCGGTTGCCTTATAAAATACAATATGTTTTGATTCAATTTTAAACCAACGAAATACATAACAATATATGAAAATCAGATGTTGTAATAAACTAATGAAATTTAATCATTAGATTCATGCAAATTGAATTGAGATCTTATTGAAACTTAATATTCACTTCAAGTTATTAATAGAGTTTTAAAAATAGAGACAAAGAGGGACTACAACTTTGATCCGCTTTTATATAATAATATAGCCATCAAAATGGGAACCCCAACGGGAATTCACTTTATAGTAAAATTCAATTTACAAATAATACCAAATTAATGGTTCATGTATTTTATTGTATTAGATTCAATGCTTGATCAATGTCAATATGCTTACTGTACTTTATATCATAATATTTTTATTTTTATTTTACTTATTCTTATAATATCAATGATATCATCATATTCTCATATTCTATCATCACATCATATTATAATATTAAATTAAATTGTATGTACAAAATGACAAAAATATTTATTTTAATGTTTAATAAATCAAATGTAAATATTAACATCTGAAAACAAATAATCAATATGTTTTAATTATAATAAAATTTATAGTTATTAAGTTTTATATAAGGAATTATTAAGAATTATTATTTAAATTGAAGGCTAAAACAATTGTAAAAACGTTAAAAAGACAAATAAAACACTTACCGTAAAATAGCAAATAATTGTTAAGAAATTGATAATCAATTGAAGAGTAAATTTATAAATAGATTGAAAGGAAAATACTTGAAAACGCTTTTCACAACAGAATATGCTTTTTCACCAAAGAATACGAAAACACAAACTCTATGTGTTTAACGCTATTATCCGTTTAGACGTGACTTTCAGTATTGGCTTTAATATCGTCTCAATTCGTGCGCAAAATCATTAAAGAGACGAAAAATAAGCACAA